CAGCTTTCCATATGATATTTTTATTCAGAGTTTTCCTATCCTGAGAATTTCTAGGTGTTCAGGAAGAGATTGGACAACCATGTGTCTTACTTAATGGTATAAGATCTCCTGCTCAAAGTTGGATTAGAAGACCTCGGGGATTCCTTCCAATGCTATTATTCTATATTATTTTATAGCAATAGTTAAGCTGGCTGGGTATGTTGTGGTCTGTTGATGGCCTGCAGCAGCAGAGTCAGACAGTGAGGAGGTTGGGGAGGAACATGGGCCAGTCCTGGAGTCTGGGGAAGGCACAGACGAGGGCTCTGCATCGGAGGCAGAGAGGGGGCCAAGGCCATCTGGTAGTTATGTGCTGCCTCCGGAGACTCCGGAGTCTGACATCAGCGAGGCAGAGGAACAGTGGGAGCCTGAACAATTAAGAAAAAAGGGGCAACTCAGGAGTAAGGCTTGGAAATGATTGGCTCCTCCCCTAAGACATAAAAGAGGAGCAAATGGATGTGAGCCTTTGCAGGAAGCAATTAGTTCATCTAGTCAGTTCAAGCTTTTAGAAGTCTTGTTTGACTCTGCGCTCCATTTGGCCTTGTAAAACTAATTGGCAATTAGGTCTCTGACAGCATTTCAAGGGAGATAAAGGTGGGTACTTATCAACATTACCCTGAAAGACTATGGCAACTCGTCCGACAGATGTCTACTCTACTCAAGTAGACATCTGTCGGACTCTTCATAGACTGTTTGACAAGCCTTGTGGGCTGTGAATGATCATAATTCACAGCCATATAAATAAAAGAGGGTTTGGGGGACTAAGATTTTGATTTATGCTTTCTCAGGAAACCTAGATCAGAACAGGGTAATTCTGGGAGTTGAAGTCCATATATAGAATATAGAATAACAGGATTGGAAAGGGTTTTTAGAGGTCACGTCCCTTATACAGAAGCAAGAATCATGTAAATTTTAATCAAAATTTAAACACAAGAATTAAAGTAAGCTACCAAATCTTGGAAATTGTGATTGGAACCTTCAGCTCCAATTTATTAGAGAGTTCATTAAGGCTGAAAGTTTCTTAGAATATTTTGAATTTGTTCATCCCATGCCATTTACCACTAACAAATTCATCTCCCACCTGTTGACTTTCTATCTTGAGTTTTATTTCTTTCTCAGCCTCTCTCATGCTGGAACACACCTGGTTTGGAGAAATCTACATTTCATTGTACCTATCAATATTTAAAACGTAGCCATGTTGGAAAAAATTCCCATCTGCAGAAGCATTTGTGCTCTGTAGACGTGTCTATTTCACAGAAGCTTTGCAATATGACTCTCTTATCTGCCGCCACAGTAGAGTCTTTGTTGTCTAGTTGGCAGGGCAAAATTAAGTCACGCAACATGAAAAATGTCCCCTGATCAGTCATTTAGCATTAAAAGCAGGACCACTTGCATGTAATGTAAAATTAGTGTGGACTGCATTAAATATATTGGTAGATTCTCTTGCTAATGTGCATTCTACTCATTTAAAGAAAGCTTTTCATGAAAGGGATCATTTTTACCCCCGTATACAGCAAATTAAGCCAGAAAACAAAGGAAATTCCAGAACATAGAAATTCATTAGCAACCTAGAGAGGGTACTTACCGAGGGATGGGCTGCAATATAGCCATGGGCACTTTTATCTGCAATGAGCAAAAGAAAATCTATGATGGTTTGGTAGATCACAAACGGTTATTAGAAAAGAAGAGGGAAGAGCATCTCAGGCTTCAGGGTCTACCTGGATCAGTGATGGCGAACCTTTTTCTTATGCCAAAATTGTCACTTTATTGCGTACATGTGTCCACACCAATCCAATCCTTCCCCCCCCCCCCCGCATGTGCATGTGCCCCCCCCCCCCCCGTGCATGTGTGCACAATGCCTCCCCAAGCCACGGAGGCTT